CACAGATGCATAATGTAAACACATGAGGCCTGGGGCCCACCGACATATACATGACATGGTCAAATGATTTTCAACAAGGGTACCAAGATGATTCAATGAGCGGAAGATAGTCTTCAACAAATGATGGTGGGAAAACTGAATACCCACACGAAAGGAATGAAAGTGAACCCTTCTGTTACATTATGTACAAAAATTCACTCAAAATGGATCAAAGAGCTATGTGTAATGAGCTAGAACTATACTTAGAAGAAACTATAGAAGAAAGCTTCATGATTTTGGATTTGGTATTGCTTCCTTGGATATGATATTGAAGGCACAAGCCATAAAATAAAAAAGAGACAATTAGACTTCATCAAAATTAAAAAATTTGGGGCCAGGTATATAGTTCAGTGGCACAGTGCCTTCCTGGTGAGTGTAAGGTTCTGAGTTCAATTCTAGGCACCAAAGTAAATAAATACATAAAAAAACTTTCATGCATCAAAGGACATGAACCAACAGCCTTAAAAAGTGATACATGGAGTTTTGCAAATCACTTATCTGATAAGGAATTAGTATCTAGGATATGTACAGAACTCCTACCTCTCACCAACAGCATCACCAACAGCAACAATAACCAGTCTAATAGGCAAAGGGCTTGAATAACATTTTTCTAAATAAGATAAACAGACGGTGAATTGTCACATAAAAATATGCTCAGTGATAGAAAACTAAAAATAGAAATTTTATTCAATCCAACTATTCTCCTTCAGAGATTTTCCTGAAAGTTAAAAACATCATTTCATAATGATACACTAATCCATAATATGATAGTTAAATCTTATAAGTGATTTATCTGTCTATAAGTGAGTGGATAAAGGAAGTGTTGTATTTGTCTAGCCTCCATGGAGTACTACTCTGCCACAAAGAAGGATAAACATGACTTATTGGTAAGAAAATGGATGGATGTACCTTGAGACCAAAATGTTAAGTGAAATAAATCAGACCCACATGCTCAAATATTGCATGGTTACTCTTACCTAAGAAACCCATAGAACAAAAAGCAAAATAAAGATAGATATTAGGTAATAGAGAAGTAGATCTTTTGCAAAGAGAAAAGGGCCCAAGTGACGGAAGAAGGGGAGTGGAAAGGGATTAAAAATGAGTGAAGATGTGTTATGTACATGTACCAACTCTCCACAAGGAATGTAATCATTATCTACTGCAAACATGCAGTAATAAGAAATAAAAATTGAAAAAATGCTGTTTTTTATTAGTAAAAAAAAAAATTGAAAAAAGATATTCCAAATCACAATAAGATACCATTTTACATTCACCAGCATACTACCATAAAAATGTTGGTGGAGACATAGAGATAGCAGAATTCTTTGTGCACTACTGAAAGGAATGTAAAGTAGTGTGTAGCTGCTATAGAAAACAGTAGGATGGGTCCTCGAAACATGAAGCATAGAATTATATGATACAGAAATTCCACTTGTAGGTATTGAGAAGGATTGAGAGCAGGAATTCAAGTGCCTTTTTGTATACCAGTGTTCAGATTAACAATATTGACAGTAGACAAGAGCTGGAAGTAATACAAGTGTTCACTAACAGATGAATCGATTTTTAAAACGTGGATTCATATAATGTGATATCATTCTGCATTAAGGAGGAAGGAAATGATGAGCTCTAACACGAATGAATCTTTAAGATATTGCACTGAGTGAAATAAGCCGGCTAGACAAAGGGGTTAACGCTGTGATTCTACTCAGGTAAGGCATCCAGTAATCATCAAGCTCACAGGGAGAGAGAGTAAAAGGGTGGTTGACAGGGGCTGGGGATGGAAAGGGACGAGGAGTTACTTTTTGGCTTTTTGGCTTAGCTTTATAAAATGAAAAGTCCTGGAATAGAGAATGGTAATGGTTACACACCAATGTGACTGTACATACTGCAACTACATTATACTGTAAAAATGATTAAAATAAAAAAGGAAAAAATGATTAAAATAGTCAATTCTGGTATGTAGAGGAACACAATTTTTACAAGGCAAGGGCAGAGCTGAGAGGAGAAAATCAGAGCATTGCAAATGCAGGTGAAAACAAGACTTAGTGAACAGGGTTATATTTAAACAACCTGGATGTTATGGAGAATCGTTTTATGCAGCACTTGATTGATCTGTTTTTGTTCAGCATTTTCATTTGATCAGCTTTGCTTGGATACTTCTCCATTAGTATTCACCTCACTTCCTTTTTCCCTAACCTCTAAATGTTGATGGTTCCTGGAGAACCTCTTTTTGAGGCTCTCCTTGCCTACTTAATCCACTTAGCAGTGTTAGCCTCCTGTCTTCATATGTGAGCTTTCTGTAAATTAACATCTCACACCTGACCTCTCTGCCCAGCTGTATCTTAAACTGCACCTGTCTGCACACATCCATCTTTCTAGTCTCTCAAACTTGGTTCAGCCCCAACTGAGCTCATCATTTGTCCTTGTTCCCCTTATTCCCCTGGCTTCTGTGGAAGACATAGAACACTCAGTTCCCAAGTTTAAAAACATATAACACTTAGCTGGACATAGTGACATACGCCTCCTCCTCTTCTGGAAATTCAAGTAGCATTTTATTAAAGGTACTAAAGTTCAACAACAGGAAGCCAGGCATGATGGCAAATTCCTGTTAACCCTTGTACACTTTGGGACTGAAGATTGCATGTTCAAACCCAGCATGGGAATTTAGTGACAGCAATACCTTGTCTCAAGAAACAGAAATTCTGGGAATGGAGGTTGGTGTGAAGATACTGGGTTCAATCCCTAGCAAAACACACACACACACACACACACACACACACACGCCCTAATGAGTTCCCGTCTTTCCCTGTAGTTAGGTTCAGCTCAGCTGCTGGCCTTGTGGTATTTTCCCACTGGAACCATTACATCTTGTACAAGTGCCCTTATTTCTCCATTTGTGCCTGACTCAACCTTTGTCCCTTCCTGAGTGGACTTCTGCTGCCACTCTCTGAGCCTCTAGTATCCTCTCATGGACTTGCCACCAAAAGAAAACCAGGGGAGGTGTTTCTTCTGCTAAGGAATCAGATTCATGGACAGGGCCTCACCGTGAAGAGGAGTAACACACATCGCAAATCCTAAAGTGGCAAGTGGCACACACAGCAGCTGAGGCGGGAGGGGGTTAAGTGGATGATTCTCAAGATCAGACAGGTGCTGCCATTCCCAGGGACTGGTTCATTTGGGAGCAGCCACCAAGTCACAGAAGGAGGGGGACAGCAGAATCACTTACAATGAAGGTGACTGGCAAGAATGAGACGGGTGCTAGGGCTAGAATCTGGTGGAATGGGGCTCAGGATGGGCGTCAAGACAACTGCTTGGGTGGAAATCCTGTGTTTTGCATGGGCTGACCCACAGCAGAATTTGGGGGTTCCCTGTCTTCTTTAGAGTGTTTGGCAGCCCTCTGCTCTGGGTTTTCACTTGTGTGAATGCCTAAGCCTAGGCCAGTGATGGTACCCAAACTGCAACCCCAAACCCACTTATCACAAATTGCCAACACTACAAAAATTAAATCTGAATACTGAGGCTTTAGTTTAGAAAAAATAATTTATACATTAACATCTTTTGTCTTAAAAACAAATAACATATGTGCCATAGGTTCGCCACCACTGGCCTAGACTATTCCTCCTCTTCACAGTTTTCATGAGTTTAAACCCAACTCATGCTTGAAGGCTGTGACTGGATGCCACTTACTGCCGAGGCCATCACTGTCTGCTGAACTGTGTAGTCTTTCTTTGACTTCTTTAGCCTCTACTTCAACTTTTTTCTGTATCACCCTTTTCTACCATGAGCTATCGTCACTCACTTCCATTTTACTAAACTAAGAGATTTTTGTGGGCAAGATTCATTCAACAATGAATAGAATATATTATTCCCCATTCCCTGTCACCTTCCCCAGGCCTGTTAAATTCACTGTGGTCTTCCCAAGGGCTACTTGCTAGATATTTCTACTCTTGTTCCCTTGAACCCCTTGTGCTTTCAGAGTTCATATGAATAATTTGGGCAATGGACTGTGAAAGAAATAGCACATAGGCCTGTTTGGAGAGCTTATCAGTGTTCTTTTCCTTTGGGGATGGCAATAGCAATGTTTGAGATGCTGGCTGCTTACTCATCCCGAGACCTCTAAATAAATACAAAGATCAGGTCCACATTTAGTACCCATGTGATGGGCATGTAGAGTACGAAATAAGCCTTTGCTGTTTTCAGTCACCGAGAGCTGAAGGTTGGTCTTATGGCATAACCCACCCTGACTGACACTGTTATCTGACTGGTTTTTTATCTCTAGACATGGCCAGTCCATCACCAAATCCTGCTAGCCGATGTGATGGGAAGCCTCCGATGAAGGAAAGGGTCTCTTTAGGCAGCCTGATGCCTCTTTCAGCAGTTCAGTTCCCTGTAGAGCACCAGTAATTTGGATGCAGAAGTGCATAAGCAGATATACCTTCCACTCTCCTCTCTGCAGGCTGCCTTCTAAATTAATTAAAAGCTGGGGGTGAGCAGAGAAGCAGAGAGAATATTCGATTAATTTCTAATGTTCTTTTTACATTTTTGAGTCTGCAACAGAATTTTCCCACAGCTTTACCAAGTTGTGTTTTACAAAAGTTAGCAGGATTCCTTTCTTGTTGGGTGAGATCATTGTACTTTCCAGATATTAGTGTTACCCCTTTCCCCAGAGAGGCTCCAGCATCTGGAGGGGCTGCTTGTGCAGCTAAACAGCTAGGGAACAGCCAAACCTCATGTCCCAAGTGCTCTCTGGGCCACAAGTCTGACACAACCCAGATGAATTCCAGCCTTCTGTGATGCACAGTTATTCCTCGGGCAGAATGACAACTGACAAGCCGTTTTTTCTACCTCTGACTGAGTGGAAGTGGCTATCCATGTGAAACAAAGATTCTAAACAAGAGTTTTATGATGTTCTGTGTGTGTGCCACCTGCTGAACCTCAGGAACATACAATGACAAGAGAAATGGGCAAGAGACAAAGATTTAATTGAATAAAAACTCCAGGCTGTGACAGTGTTGGGAAGACACAAAGCAGTAATTAACAACATAAGTTTTTAAATGATGATACAATTAATTAACATCCTGGGTAAGTGCAGAGAGGGAGGGGGGCATCATTCAGTCCAGAAACACTGCTAAATGAAGAAGGGAACTTTGTGTTTTAAGAAACATCTATGTGCAAATGGCCCTGGTTATCACAACTTCAGCAAAGCTCACAACAATCCCCAAAGAGGTTTCTTATGCCCAGGAAGCTGACAAAAGAATCAATTTTGAATTTCAGTTTATTCTGAAACCTGTATTTCAATTTATTCTTATATGTGAGGGAAAGATACTGGGCTAGATAATGAAATTGGCAGCCATTACGTTATCATTCTGGATTCAGGTTGAAGATTGGGCTGGGGTGTGTGTGGGGAGAATTAGGGAGCCAGGAGCTTGGGGGGTACAATGGAATAGGAGGTTAGGGGGTCCAGGAGCTAAAAGCCTTCCTAGGGTGTGTTCCCATGCCTGTAGGAATTTATCAAGGCTGTTGGAGCTGGAGTGGTAGCTGTTGGTTGAGGTGGTATGGAGGCTGGCCATAATCTGTTCAGGAAATGATCTTCTGAAACAGTTGGAGTGTTCCTTAACAGGAAAGAGCCACTTGGTATAAGAAAAATCTCTCAGATGGGAAATATTTTCCATGATTCACACTGATCACACTTTCTTCTCCAAAATGTTAGGATGGGTCATCCTCACCTGCCTAAGAGTGTGCACAGAAGACACCAAGAGATGCATTTTGAGCTCGCTTTTGGAAGCTCCCACACTAATTTCCAGGCTCCTTATGGCCCAAGAAACTAAATTGCTCCCTTCCTAGTTGCAAGGTCAATAGCATCTGTTCAATTATTGAAATGTCTATCTCCATAGGGTTAATCTAGAGTCAAGAGACAATGGAGTCTGTTGCCTCCTGGGAGTCTTGTCACGATCATGGAGTTTTTCTAACTCTCAAGAGAATATCCAAACACAGGACTGCCTGACCAGTGAAGCCTATCAAACAGAAGACATTTAGGGAGATAAGCTATCTACGTATTAGTCCCTAGCCTAAGGTTCAGTACAGAACAGAGTTTAGATTTATCTACATTTAATTTGCTTGGTGGGAAACATCTTTTGCACAGTATCCTGTTAGCTGATGCTCAATCTAGTCATTTTTAGGGCTATAAGACACTACTTACTGTTATATCAGCAGAAAAATATGATAACCTGGCTTAAAATGAACATTACTTTAGTTAAAGTTGTGGCTTTTATAGCATGTAATGTATATAAAGAGTAAGACAAGGGCCAGGGATATAGCTCAGCAGCATAAGTGCCTGCCTAGCAAGCACATAAGTTTGATCCCCGGTACAAAAAAAAAAGTAAGACATGTCCTTGATCTTCCATTGTTGAAAGAAGGGGCTCATCACCTGACTCGCTTCTTGCAAATCCTATACACAAGTGGAAATTGGCACTAAGCAGTCACAAATTGGAGTGAAAAGTCATCTCCACGTACTTACCAGGGCTGTACAGATTGAGGGTGAGCAAATTAACCTAGTGATAGGGGTCCTTGGGAAGGTTACTGTTCATTCAATAGGAATGTGTTATTATAATACAGGATAGAGAATAGCTCAAACTTTTTTCCTAAACTGAATTTGGACTAAGCTAGAAATCTGAAGGAAAAACAAAAACAAAACCCCTCACAATCACTGAAACAAATGACACTGTATGCCTAAGTGATATAGAACAAAAGTATAAAATGAATGTTAACCCCAAAGTCCATGGGGTTAAAATAGGTTCAGATTGCCTGGGTTTGAAAAGATCTTCTAAGAGAGATCAACTCAAACTGTGGCTCAGATTTCAAAACTCTTCATTCACAAAGGAAAATTTTATCCAAGTTTTTCTTTGATCTGTTTAGGCTTTTAAAACATGTGATTGACACTTTGTGGAGTGGTAAAGGCATATAAAATGCAGAAATCATTGTGGAACATATGTGCCTCTCTTTCACTACAATGAAGCTTATTTTTGAGAACAAAGACCTTGTTTTCAAACAAATGTACTCATTCATTGTGGCACATCAGAAACATATGGTGTGGTTAGTTTCAGCAGAATCATTCCTAAAGAAAGTGACTAAGTCCCCTTGAGGAATCAAGACATTTCTAGTCCATGAGGCAAGCCAACAAGGAAGGGAAGCAAGGGCCTCTGTATATCTGCGGGAGGTTCACAAACACTGCATAGGTCCTGTGACTTTGACATGGGACCAGGAGTCCACATCTTGGCTTATGCCACACCAGTGAAGAGCTTCAAAGAGTAATAGTCTTGTACCAGCTCTTGGGTTGATTTGTACCATTCCTGCAGGGCCCTGTAAATACAGCCTTAGCTCCAACCCACTACTGCCTGCAGGGCTGCGGAGCTTGGTGGAGACAAAAAATTTCAGAAACTCAATCGCTTTTCCCCCAAAGACTACTATTTTACAACACTGTTTTATACAACCAACTTCTGGGCTATCTACCTTTTATTTCTTACTCATTGTGTTCTGTTTTTGTTCCTCATGTTGCTTTTTCTTTTCTTGACAGTAGACCTATACAAAGTGAGAACCACAAAAACATCATCTTGAAAGACAGAGAAGACTAAGACAGATCTGACCACACAACAAGTGTCTTGGCCTTGACCTACACAGGAGCAGTTAAGACTCTGGAGTGGCAGACGGACAGCTGCTGCCTCGGTGACTGCACAACACTGCATTTAGATGGCTGAACAAGTGCAAAAAGAACATCACTGAGTCCTGTTTGTGTGGCACAGCCGTGCAGCTCACGGTGTTGGAGGTGGTTTCGGAGAAGGGCACGAGCTCTCACTGTCGAAGCTGGCAGCTCGTCCCTGCCACTGTAGGAAAGAGAAATAACTGGTTATTGATTACCAAGGGAATTGACATTTCAACTTCCAAAACTGAATTAGCCCATGCACTGAATTCACCTTCCCAGCTTCTTGAATTTTGCTGTTAGCCATGCAAAAAAACATAATGAAAATAGCTTAGAGCATCTAGTGTGAAATACTTGATTTTTGAAAAAGATCTATTGCAGAGATAATTTTAGCTTTCTTCACAATGTGGAGAGCGCATGTGCATGTGTGTTTTAATGAGGTGCTATGGCTGAACCATTTCTGAGTGCTTCAGCCATTTTTCACACTGAAAATCAGATTATGCGAGCAGCAAAAGAGGCATTCTGCAGAGTATGATCTTACTGCCAAGAAACCACGATCATGAATTATTAGCAATTTGTCTGGGAGCTGTTAGTACAGAAAGAAACCTGATATTGCTTTGGTTTGGGGCTCTCTTTTTCAGGCTTAATATGTCCTATGGGTATTTGCACCTGGCCTGTGAGGAGGTAAGGGTGTCAGGAGAGGAAGCCGTTTCTCAGTTTGGGCTCCTCTAAACTTTTTTCCTGCCTACCTCTCCTGTCTCATGAATTGCCTCCTCTCAGCCTGACTCTAACCCCTCCAGGAAATGGGTGATGCAATGAGGCGTCATGGGGTGAAGGAGAGGGTTGACGATCAATGGGCCTGTGCCTTGAACCATTCAACCCTTATTTAATTGAAAAAGTTGGTCAGAGACACAGCGATGTTTCCTGGCAAGTCTGACCCCATGAATAATCTGGACCTATCTAGGAGTGGTAAAACTTTAAAGTGAGTTTGTGCCCATGGCTCGCTCATCTTTTTGTGGGCCAGAAGGAAGACCCAATTTTCCCTTAGTGCCTGCAGGACAGATTTCCAGAGAAAGAGCTTAGGTCAGTAGTCAAGAAAGCCTCCTGAACTACAAGGGCAGCTCTTTCCTCTTCTGCTTCTCACGAGCAGTAGGAGTCTCCATTGTGGGTAATGGGGCTCAGTGGGATCTGCAACCATGCATGTGGGGACATCCGAGGGTGAGGGGGAGAGGACATAGTTCCCACCAGCAACACAGCCTTCTCTAGACAGAGCTGAACCACTATAGAAACAGATTACCTATCACCCAGGAAATCCTGAGGAGTAAACAGAGAGCCCCCGAAGCTGAGGATGAGCCCAAACCTGAGGACTGCCTTAAGGCTCTCAGTCCTAAGACAGCCCTTGTCGTCACTCTTGAGGCTCAGCTCTTCATGGCTCCTTAGAGCAGGCCAAACTAAAGGTCTCTACAGGTAACCAAGGTATTGAGGAGCTGACAATCAAGTATCGATGCATTGTGTGATCTAGACCTGAGCACATGTCAGAACTGGAGGCAAGCTTGTGAAATCACCCAGTTTGCAAGAACCTTCTTGTTCTTGCAAATAAGAAAACAAGGACAGGGAAGTCAAGACACAGCCAGTTAGAGGTGCAGGTGAGACCCTAAACCAGGTCTCCTGATGCCTGACTCAGAGCTCTTTCCACGCCATCCTGCCACTCTTGGCACATGGACACACCAGGGAAAGAGACACAGAATGTAGTAAGAACCCTAATCTCTTGGGATCCACACCAGTACTTACTCCTAACTCCCGGTGGCAGCTTCTCTGCGAGCAGTGTCCACGTGAATGAAATCACAATCGAGGGGTTCCCTGGTAAAATATTTTAGATAAATAAATGCCTGGTTGTTGAGTCCACTGTGACTTTTGACTCAAGTATTTCTTAACCAGAAGGTGACATAAAACAATTACTGATGCTTTCATTTGGCCAACCATCATTTTAGGAGTTGGACGTTTTCTGTTACAACCTCTAATGTCAGTGAAAGGTACATTGTAATCTCTGGCTTCTCCCAAGGTAAGCATGCCACTTAAACAGCATGATTGATAGGCTAGGTCAGAGGAGAAAAACATGAAATGGCTACACAGAGTACCTGTTTTCCTTTATATAATAGCCCAAAGAGCAGTCACACAGCGCATAATTGTTTATCTGGAACAAATGAAGAAGGAACACTGGTTCTCTTGCTAGTCCCTGATTTTTTCCTATGAAGATAAACAAAGGGAGGAGATGGGGTTCATGGACAATGGAAAGGTGAATGATTCCAGGAGGTTTATCAAGGTGGCTTTAAAATAGCAGAGACCCTGTTATCATAAGGCAGAGTGTATTATTCCAGGGTGGCTGCATTCCAGTAAGGTCTTTTGTTGTTCTGAAATAGGTCACGTTCCAGCAGAGATCTAAAATCTCTGGCAGATGATCTGAACTTGGCCCTTTGTAATAAAGCACCTTGGAGAAAGGCACTAGTCAACCAGGACCTCTATGTGGGGACAAAAGTGACATGCAGCACTGGGCAGGAGTGCTGCGCGGGAAAGGGGCTGGTGCTGAACCTGGCGAAAGCCACTTGCTGTGGCTTAAGGAATTCTTATTCATGAGAGATCCCAGCAGGGAAAAAATATTTTTTCAGTTAATTTGTTTCCTTCAACCTTATTTTAAACTCCAAATAGGCAAGCAAGTATGGTGCCCTCTGTTCTCATTAATAAAAAGGAAACGATCACAGCACTTGAAACTCAGCTAAGAAAGATGCAAGATAAATACAGAATGCTTTACAGATATGATGCCATTTATCTTCCCAGGAGCTAGAGAGGAGTTCTTTATGGATTATACAAATGGGAGATTCAAGTTTCAGGAGCAAAGCTGTTGCTCTGTGACTAGAACTGAACCAAAAAGAAGGCAGGATGTGAGCTCTAAGGACGGCTGGGATGATGTGTGTTTCAGCACAAGGGATCACATGAGCACAAGAAATTTTATTTAATATTAGTCTGGTGGGGTTTAGATGTGCTTTTATAAAGAGATTTAAACTGTGGGTGCTAAAAGTATCAGTAAAAATTCCACACAAATGCATACTGTTGAAATCCTAAGTTGCCAAGACAAATTTCATTTTCAGCTCCTTCATACAAAGAAATGATCATCTGAGCAGAAAATGGTGGAGTAGTGGATGGGGGAGGAACAGTCAGGCTCAAGAAAAAAGTAAACCTAAAGAGTATGAATCCATTTAATCTTTTTGTTTTCCACACACTGTTACTTTCCCTTTACTGTTTCATTAAATATTCATTTTCAAGGGCTTGATTCTACGTTATCTTTCTATTGTAGTCTGGACTAGTGATTCAGAATTCTCAAAGAAACAGGACTCCGAATCAATTATTTGGTTTAATGAGGTGGCATTCATCAGGATTCTGGGCCTGGATCTGGCACCCCTGGTACTGTACTCCCGCTCTGGCCAGGTCTGGCCACTGAAATGGATTATTGCAGCTCAAGTTTAGAAGGACAGTCACAGTGAAGCATGTGGCCTCCTAAGCCCAGCTGTCATTTTAGGGCCAGCGTTTCCTAGAAAAGCAGAGATGGGAAGGCTCTCTCCCCTCATTTACCAACCAGGAAACCAAAGACCAGGGTAGGGCAGTGGGCTGCCTGGGGCTCCACAGCCTTCTTGGTTCACATTCATGCCCTGCCCCAAACTGGCCTAAACAGTTTGGTATGCTTAGTCTATTCTTAAGTATCTTCACAGGATTAAAGGTGGGGGCTGTCCTGAACTCTCTCTGGGCTGAACCCACACTGTATTTATTCAGTGAGATGCTAGGTTGTCCCCAGATGACCCAGCATTCTGCCTCATAGCTCCACCTATGGCTGGCACTGGGTATCTCACTCACACCCTGCAGAGGCCCTGCTGGAAGAAATAGGATGGCAAAAGAGAACTAGAAAGCAGGGGGAACGGTCTCACTCATTAAAGCTCATCAGCTATGGTAAGATAAAGGTGACCACAAGACAGAGATGCGCGCTCTCAACTGACAAGAACTTTGGTCTATGTCTGACTCCTTAAAGCTGACTGAAAGGCTACAGGCAGGAGTGCTACTAAATCCACCCCTACTTGGGAGGTAAGTCAATTATCCTGGCTCCCTAATGGCTACTATGTCCACATGTCCCATCCTGTCATCTCCCAGTCTCTATCAGGATGCCTCACTCTGCTAGAAGCAGGTGGAAATGCCTTGTCCACCCTGAGGAGGAAAGGGAGCTGCTGGTCCTCTGGGTTTATACCTGCATTTTCTCTGCATCAGAATAGGAGGGATTGCTCTGTTTTTAAGGTGACTCCACTTTTAGGCTCAGTGGTGGTGGGGATAAAGCTTTATTTTCTGTGTTAGAAAAATTTCTAATCTTACATAGTTCTCTAGGCTTAGTAGGTGTGTAGCCTGGGAAGATGAGGTCACAATCACCCTCCTTTCTAGGATGGACCAGGGTATGAGCTGTTGAAAATACAGTTCAAAACTTTCCTGGCTGCTTCTGTGTTCCAGTTCACTTGAGAAAGAGCAAGCCCAGAGACTACCAATGTAATAAATCACAGGATCTTAAGTTGGTGAGGTTTGGTACAGATAGGAGCAGACTAAATATCACTCAAAGGGACATTTTCTTTGCAGCTGAGAGAGCTGTGGCGGGTTTCAGGTTATGCAGCAAATCAGGAAGGGCCAAGTTTACAACCTAAGTCTTGGGACTCCCAGTCCACTGCTCTCTATTAGAACCTAGCCCCTCAGCCTTAGCAGAAAGTGTGACAACTAGAGATGATGCTCTCTTCTGCAACAGTGGTGAGAATCAAGTTCCTAGGAGGAGGAATCTGTGCTTCAACCGTCTCCATCCAAGCAGTGAATACTGCCAAGTGGCTGCCTGGCTTAAGCCTTAGAGAACCTACTGTTCTGACAGGCATAGAGTTTCTTGCCAAGCACTGATCTCACCCCCTTGGGACTATCTTCTAAAGGACTAACTTGGCCCGGGGACATTGTGAAAGCTTTTCAGGCCTCGCATAGTGGCCCTCTAGGAAGACTTCTTCAAAGTTCTTATCTCCCAATAAGAACTTAATGTTGTTTGCAAAACACACACCAGGGGCTTTTTGCCAGGCAGCCTTCATCTTCCCCCATCTGCCTGTTATACACTGGTGAAAAGCGTGTGGCCCCGGAACTCCTTTCCCACGGAAGGCGGAGGAACTTGCAGCAGCCGCCTGCCATTCTCCAGCCCACGTCACCATGCAGCAAACATGCCAAGGGCCAGGCAACCTCACCCACCTCTTTGAAGGATTTCTTTACCTCCACCAAGGAGTGCCAGTGTGCAATGGGCTTCCGAGGGTATGCCAGCATCTCATTCCAGTGGTCCCTGCCCAGGCCTTCAGCATTGATGCCCACACGACAGACACCTATGATCTCATTGTGGCCCACTCTGAGGGAGAAACAAAGGATTCTGCCAGACATCCTCCCAGAAAGGGAGATTCTGGGGTGCAGTCTGAGTCAGAAGTGTGACTGGCATGGCCTCAAGGTGTCAATGGTTGTAAGGCTTTGCCTGTCCTCCTTAGGTGGACATTTGACACAGAGAGATGAGCAAAATAATAATAATAATAACAATAATAACAACAACAATAATAAATTTGTTCAGCATCTCAAGAAATGGTGGCAGATGATTTAACTCTGGGGATTGGGAAAGTTTGTCTTTTCTCTAATAAAACTTGAGAAACACATTACAACTTTCCTGGAGATATTAGCATCTGGAAATAAATCACTCTGCTCTGAGTACCATTTCTCCATACCCTCAGTGGCTGGGATGTGATTTATCCACTTAGCAAGAACATAAATCATCATTCAAGTTTGTTTGTCAAGCACCTACTATGCCTGAGAACCTGAGCTAAAAATCCAGGATTGAATTTTTAATGCATAGATTTCATCCCCTTCAAATGAAATGACAACCGGATAGAAGGAGTCAAGGGGTTGGAGTATATGAAAATGTTTTTGAGTCAGTCTTGATGGCAATGCAAGGTTAGCAAAAGAGAAGAACTATATCTGAGAAAGGGGAAATAAGGTTGGATAGATCTGCTGGGTCCAGATTATGAAACGTCTTGAGAGTTCATAGGAAGAGCTGAGAAAATAGGAGTCACTGATAGTTACTGAAAAGGGCAGTTCCAGAAGAAAGTACCCAGGAAGGTGTGTCCTTAGTCTGCTGGCTGAATCAGGGCAGCCACTATGGAATGAGTAGCAGCAGCCACAGAAATGGACAAGATAAGCATTTTAAAGGACAGATGCTAGGACTTGGTGCCAGTGGTGAATCTGGGGAAAATTATGGTGAAATTACTCCAGATAGAAATAGCTAGAAAGAGAAGATGAAGCCCTTGGCTAAAGGGGAGTCCAGGTTTTTCCTCAAACTCCTATGCCCTCCTTAGGTAGAGCCAGATTTGAGTCCAGAAACCATCTGAGCCCAAAACCACAGGTCAAGGAGTCCTACACTGAATTGGAGTGGAGTGGGATAGCAAATCACGTCCTCTGGGACCGTACCTACCGGTCATAATCCATAACTGAGATGAGCAGACTGACTTGATCCATATTCTCTGGGGGAATGTCAAAGATGATGGCCTCATTGTACACAGGATTGAGAGTGTTCTTCTTTATGGTTGTTTTCTTCTTCTTCAGCCTCCGCCCATCACAAAGCAGGGACACTTTGACATAGGGATCTGTGCCAATAGGGGCAGTGCAAAGGGAAGGGCGCATGTTAGACAGATGTCCTCGAGCATTTGCAGGAGAGGGATAGAAGCTCTAGACTCACTGCTGCTCATCAGATGGTAGCAGTGGGTTGTTAAATTAATTAAACCACCTTGTATTTATGTAGCACACCTGTCTCTGACGATGCTCCATGCTTAATGAACACAGTCTTTAGCAACCTCAGTATTCTTGGGAGAGTGCCTAATGGACTCTCACTAATAGGGCAGCTAGTTCGAATTCAGATAGGACTCTTGCTCATGGATACAGTTCCCAGTCCTAAATCTCAGCCCCACAATGACTGATTGGCTGGTTCATGAGGACTTTCACCTATATGGAGTCCTTTTCTCTTGGATATTTAATTAACAGATAAAAGGGGTAAAAATAGAACTCAGTGATGCTCAAAGAATAACCGGATGTCAGAAGAAAATGAACAGCAACAATCACATTGCTGTTCGTGTCCTCCCCACCTGACAACATGATTTTGAGTCTTATTGTCCCAATATCTCATTTCCATTCAGCATCAAGAAGGGGAGAAGAGGCCCTGCTCTTTGCCTCATTGAAGCTGTGCCTGCTCATTTCTGAATAGGAGAGGAGGAAGGAGCTGTGGGCTGAGAGAGTGAGTGGGGCGGTCTCCTGAGACTCAGGGCAGCTGGTTGACATTTCATTTCTCAGTGGGATCTTGGATGCTCTCCATCCTGCAAAGCAAAGTCTTTTTATTAAACTTCTGTTGTGCCTCCCAATCTTGTCTCTTTTTTAGATTTCTGAATACGTATTTCATGGTCATCTTTCTACCCTGAAATTTTCTACTCATCCAAATGAAGTGACACATATTGTATCACAAAGCACAGGTGTCTTGGTCACCATCATAATTAGTATTTGTGCCACACAGCTCAAGAAACAAGAGAGCAGCTCACCAATAATAGCTTTTGAGATGCTGGTATGTTGAGACACTTTCTTGCCCAGAAGCCAGGGCTCATGCGATCTGTTTTGAGGTGTGGGCCAAGGCAGCGTTCCTCGCTCTGCTGTTCCTAGGGGTACAGCTATACCTCCTGGACATCTGAGCACCCACTCAGGCCTCACATTCCTGGCATTTTACACAAATCTGGGGAGTGCACAACTATGGTAGGAACCAAGAAACCGCAGCAGCACCCGATCAGAAGCTCTAAGCCTTAAAGGCATTTCCACAGGCATCTAAATGAGCTGCTGACTAACCAATGTGACAGTGGCAGCTGTACTTTAACCATGGGGACTCTAAGGTTTATGGAGAAACTGGGGAAACCAGGAGGAATTTAATCAGCCTGCTGTCTCTGACTACCCATTTGTAAGTGCCCCCTCTCAGGAGGGTTTTCAGTAAAACAGGCAAAAGGCATTTTCAGAACTTATCTGAGACAGCTTTCCAGTTTCTATAGGCTCCATTTCCTTTGGATATACCTCAGGGCATTGTCCAGTACAAGCAGACAAGGTAGGAAGAACTGGCCCCAGGACCTCTCTTTGACATTGAACTCTAAGGGTGCACATTGCTTTGAAAAGTGTCTTCAGGCGCGAGTTTGCTGTGTGATTCTTATTTCCATACACTCTCACTCAGAGCAAATTCCCACTTCATGAGGGTTAGAAAAATATAGGCAGAGCTACTTGTCTCATGGGCCACTGGGCAAATGCCTCTTTCTGCAGCTCTTCATCCCTACCAGGCATATGCTATTTATTTATAAAATTCAGCGGGTACATTTTCCTTGTAGGAACCTGTGCTCTCACCAGCACCTAAAATAAGTAGAGATGACTATACCCTGGGGTTCTCTGGTGCAAAAGCTTGTGGTGTCTAATAGAATGATGGCCCCAGAGGACCTTTGAGGTCTCTCTATGATGCTTTATGTAGCTGACTGAGGTGGCATGAAACCCAGTAGTGTATTTCAGCCTCATTGCCATAGGAACCTTAGGAACTGAGCATTTATTATGTACTATGCACCTAATAAGAAATGTACTTACATAAGAATGTCTAAACTTCACATTGAAACTTCACTTCATATTTATCATCAATATTTCTATGTCATAAAGACAGGTGAGAAATCTAAAGCTTAGCAGGATTAGACATGTGTCTATGATTTGAACCCAGATCTGACTCTTAAGCTCATATTCTTGATTAATTAGATTAAAGGCAGTATTGGGGCAGATAGGGCAGAGATGAAAGGGTTAACTCGCCATTCTTTTGTTTATTGTTTATCATGGTTCTAGCAGGCAGGCTTGGAGAACAGATTCTGAGGTAGTGCAGATCAAAGAGAGTAAGAAGATCCTCACTTTTAGAACTCAATGCCATGTAAAGCTAAACAGGTGATTAATAAGCTCCATTCACTCCCCAGGTTCCAACTTTAAATCAGTCAGGGCTGAAAGCAACCTTAAATTCACTCCCAAAAACAAGCGCAATAGCATGAGAGAGCTCTGGCTTGTACCCATCAATTGCATCATCCTTAGGCTGAGTTCCTCATGCTATAAACTCATTCATTTACTTATTCATTCATTCATTCATTCATTAATCCATATTTAATGAATGCTTATGTGTTCCAGGCATTGAGCCATATACTTACTTACACCAGTGAGCAAAACAGACAATCATCTTTGAAACAAAGAGGACCCCTGGATTTTCAAAATGTAACTAAGATTTAAGAGCACATCCCACCCCCAGGTAGAAAAGAGGGGGCAATTGTGAACAGATTAGGATTTACATAGAGAAAAGTCTCTCACCCAAAACTTTCTGAATTTGGAAAGGGCTTTGCAATTACCTAAGGCTTTACTGTTAGCTCTCTCTCCCTAGCACATCAATTTAATTACACCAGAGAAGATAGTGTGGAGACTAGGGCAGCAAAATTCTATTTCCCTCACAGCCTGGAGAGTCCTCAATGAATTTCTGTCCCTAGCACATGCTTATTTTGGTCTTAAAATGAAATCCACATTGGCTATATTTTGGGGGAGTTTGATTTGCTGCTCTGAGAAATTTTTGCATGTCAGCAGAGATTCTTTAAGCTCTTTACTATGTCCTGATACGTGTCAGCAGCTTCCACAGAGCAAAGAGCTTAAAGGGGGGCCCTCTGAGGGGCTTGCAGCCTGGAAGGCCAGGTACTACTGAGACAGCTGGATGCTGGAGTCAAGGCTCTGATGCAGTCAAGGCTGCAGTCAGTACACATCACTGAACCTCAGTGTTTCCCAGTCACCTTTCCCTGAAATCCCAGTTTCCAAGGTCTCATGCTTTGTCTTCTTCCACCCACATGACATTATACTTGAGCTCAGATGTTTTCAGTTGCACTGTTGCCTCGTTATGGCAACTGTGATTATTCTAAGGGAGTTTTCCAGGATGTAAATAAATAATAAATACAAGGGAAATATAGGGAAAACTCTTCAATGTATTTCCAGTCAAGTTCAGAGGCGCCTCTGAGTGCCTTTCATTGGCTCAGGAATCAGCAGAAGGGTCCCTTGGGTCTGGAGAAACAAACGGAGTCTTTTCTCATATGCACTGTCCTAAGTGCAGCCCAGAATGCTCTGCCAGCCATTCTTTGTGCTCTTTGACTTTAGTCATGCCTCAGGGCAGTTTGAGTAGACTACAGGGGATGGAGCCTTGAAGGTCTCAAATTACTCTCTTATCTCCAAACTCAAATATCTTCTAAGCTGACTGCTACCCCCAAACAAACATTTCCTGCATTGCTGGAATTGCACTGGATTTCTATTTTGCTGTAGCTCAATTCTGCTAGTGCTGAGATTGAGGCTGGGGCCCCTGAAGGAAAATTCAAATGCAAAGGCACATTGCTTTTCCACGGATTTGCTCCTTTGACTTAGTTTGCAAGGTTGCTGACTTGCGTTTGTGTGGACCTGCAAACATTTATGCACTGAAACTTGATATAACTGTGCTGCAAATCCTAGGGCCCTGTACAAATTGGAAAAATTGTTCTTAGTTTTTTTTCCTCTGATATACATCCCTCTCATTCTTTTCCTTATCTAAGAGGATAATAGCTAATACTTATCAAATGCTTATATGTCAGGCACAATGCTGAACATTTATTGGATTAATACACTTATCCTCAGTGAAATCAGTATAAGAGATGATCATTCCAACTGTCAGATTAGGAAACTGGTGTAGTTTGGATCTTACTTAAATAGGACCATGTATTAAAGGCTCAGTCCCCAGTCTGTGGTGCTACTGTATTCCTGGAACCTTTGGAAGGTGTGGTCTATTGGAAGGAAGTTAGGTCTTTGGGGGTGTGCTCTTGAAGGAGAATTTAGGACCATGGCTCTTCCTCTTCTTCACTCTTCACTTCCTAACCATCATGAGGCCTCCTCTATCACACATTTCTCACATGATGTACCATGCTGCCACAGGCCCAAAGCAACAGTGATCATGAACTGAAACCTCTGAATCTATGAACCAAAATAAACTTTTCTTTCTTTCAGTTGATTATCTCAGGTATTTTGTCACAGCAATGAAAGCTGACTAACATAGAAACCGCAGCCTTTACAAAGGAAGGAAGTGGCAGAAGTTGAATATAGATGTAGGCAATTGTCTCCAGAGCGGGTGCTCCTATTTTAAGAACAATGGCAGTTCTTGTCCCTTCTTCCTAGACACTCTTCCAAATTCTAACTGAATTAGAGAGGGCCTTGTGGCAGGCCACATGGGTGACAGAGGTACCTGAATAGCCTGTGATGTCCATTGCCTTGAGGTTGCGACATTTGATCACTGTGAGGGTGAGCCTGCCTGCTGTGGGCAGGTAGCATAGAGAGAACATGATCTCCCCCAAGTCCACACTTTCCTGTAAAGAAGCAGACAAGAAAACAGGTGAGGGGCATACAGGCTAGTGTCCTGGCTCCCTGTGCAGTGGCAATAGGGGTACCATGAGGTTCAAGAAAAGGTGCTTGGAGCCTCGGTGTCATGCATCCCAAGAGACTTGCCTCTAATCATAACAGTATTACCTCTGCAGTGAAATTTGCCCCTTTCAGTGTTCTCTGTCACTTTGATCGCATTCAGGTCCTAGTCCTTGCCATGCTTATTCTGTCCTGACTTGTCCTATGTATGTCCCTTGACCACAGCCCCATAGTAGCTCAGTCCTATACTCTCCAACTTACCTGTCCTTGACTCCTCCAGACTTCCTGCCTGTCAAGCATGTTGTTATGACAGTGTCTGAGTAAGACACACACTCGAGCCGTTAGGCCCCTCTCCTAGCAGCTCCGTGACTCCTTTCTGCTACTATTCTTTACATCAGTTGTTCCTTGTCAACCCCTCTTCTGCCTTGGCAGCCTTCTTGCCTCTCCCAAGCCACCTCCAACACGCTAGCTTCCAGCCTCAGTGTGGACATGCAAGGAACTGATTCACTGCTTGGGACATGCTACCAACCAATGAGACATACATCTGCTATCCCACACTTGTTCTTGAATCTTCTTTGTCCCTTTTTCTTAAAGTGATCATCCTAAAAAATTAGCCCAGCAAGGAACACACATCCCACTGTCTCTCCTACTGCCATGGTCATCGTGGTCAGAGATCCCTGAAGTCTGAGAGAACACGAGAACTTTCAGAAAGTTTTGCGGTTGTCCTAGAAAAATGGCAAGCATGTCCATCTGTTGTATTAAATAGGTTCTTAGCAGAATGTTTCCTCTTCCCTACCCACTGGATAGGGGTACAGTTGTTTTAGGAATGCAAGTATGGGGATGTTTCCTCTCTTAGAACTCTTAGAGCAAGGTTTGAGGAGGAGACCATCAGGATTTGGGGTGGCTCTGATTTCAGATGGTATCCTCTAATCATTCATTCATTCATTTATTCAAGATACAATTATTGACCACCAGCTATGTGCTGGGTGTTGAACTGGGTGTTGGAGATATAAGAGAGAACAACAGAGACAAAAATTCCTTCCAGCACGGAGCTTATGTATTATTAGGGCCAAGGACAATAAAAAGGCAGAGAAGAGGGATAAAATGACTATGGGAAAGCTGTGATTGTTGAAATTTTAGCCAGGGAGATCTCCCTGAGGATACAACTTCTGAGAAAGAGGAGTTGGGAGTGACACTAAGAGTTTTGTCCATTTTCCTCTGCTGGAGACTCCTAGCCTCTTGGCGCAGCTTTGAGAATTAGTCAAAACCCCCTGCTCAGTCTTCCATAGCATGTGGTCCCAATGTTCTCCTCGAGGTGGCGCTGATACCTGCCCTTCCATAGCCCCACTTGTGTCTTTTCACCCACCTACCTGGTCACCCCAGTCTAATTCCAGGAGGTGTGCAGAAGGCTGCTACCCCCAGCTTCCCAGAAGGGGATCTGCCTGGGGCTAGAGCTGGACACCCATAGTCATCACCTCCTCCAGCACACACAAACCCTCACGCTTCCACAGAGGACAACCAAGGAGCTTGCACATAGACGCGTCTCTGTTACTTTTCCACAATAGTAGAAGGCTCACAGCAGTTCCATGAGGAGGGCTTGCTGCCACCATTCCCTGAATTTATTCAGATTGAAAAGCCTTGCCTGGCTATCTGGACCGTTGAGAGAGTGCTTCTCATACTCATCTTAGGCAGAGGCCTACCAGCTCACCTTGGGACTATCCCAAGGCAACCTTGACTCTTTCATACTTTAGAGCACACAGCTTTGTGTGTGAGGCATGTAGTCCCCAGCCCCTATAGACAGCTTAGGGTATAACAGGTCAGAGAAGGTATAGGAGCCCCATCCTCTTCAGGGATGTCTCCTGTCTTCCCAGGCCCCTCTTCAATAGAGGAGACACAGCAGCTGCCCCATGTCCTGGTATTGTGGAAGAGTAACTTTCCTTTCCTGTGGCAGTGATCTAATCAATAGCACATTTAGCAGAATTCTCTGTCTCTGACAGATGCACTGAGGTACAAGGAAAAACCCAACTCCCTTTATTTCCCTCCCTTTTGTCTTTGATAGGAGCATCAGCAACTCCAGGACCAACCAATCCTGGCCAAAGTTACACAAACTCTTTCAGACTCTCTCAGCATAGCAAAAGGAACTGACACTTTCTAAACACGTGCAAAGCACTTTGCTAAGTTCTTTGTTAGATCCTCTCAGTGATTTCAACACAGCCCTTCAGGGTAGGTGTCTTGCCTGTCTACACTGCACACAGCAGAAGACAAATGTTTAATGAAATTAATGACCTTGCCCCAGGCTGCACGAATAGTGAGCGCTTTAGTGCCCAAAGGTCCTATATTAGTCCCTGCTCATCTGCTCTCAGTGGCTCCCTTGTTTGACTTTTTATCTTGCATCTGGAGTTCTCAACAACTGGGTCCTATTTACTTCCTCACTTGATTTTCTCTCTCTCCCTTCCTCCTCCTCTTTATCTCTGCCTCTGCTCTACATGACTGGCATATATGTCCAAATGCCTTTCTCTTTCCTGTTGGCTAGACAATCCTATGACTGCTATAGGATCCAAGTTGTATCCTCCCAAGGACCCTGACTTGAGGCCTGTCCCACAGTTACCAAGTCCCCTGACACCCTGCAGGACTTCCTGACCCTGAGTAGCTCCCAGGAGTCACACAGTCTCATAGCTGTGCCCTGCAGGAGCTTGTAGTGATGGAGGTCTTTCTGAGCAGCATCCTTATCTTACACTGACTTGTGCTTTAGAGGTGCCCAATAGTATACAAGAAAGCTGTAGAAAGGGGTGGTTACATTTTAGCCAGAAGGACCCTGGCAGGGATGGTTCTCTAAACTGGTATGATGATTAAGTTAGAGCCCAGGAGGAATACAATCCAATGGTCCCTCTGAAAGAAGGTAAATGAATGCTGTGGTTGCCAGGCCCCCACTACTGCTACCCTATAGGCTGTCTCCTCTGGGGGAGTCTGAGTGGTTTGTTTACAGACTTTGGATATTTGCTTAGGGATCCTCAGGGGGAAGAGGATCTCTAAGGACTCTAAGAACTGCTCTCAAGGCTTGGTCCCTTCAGGGGAGTGCTGGCCCACAAGACCCTCTCTTTTTGCATGGCTGCTCTGTCTCATAGGATTATAGCAGCTAGGGGGATGTGGGTGCTGGATCTGCAGTGTAGGGTGCAGGCCTAAGCTCCTGCACCCAATAGTGACCTCCATCTTCCATCGATTTGCCCCTACAGGCAAAGGGACTGGACTCAGGATATCCCTATGTCATGGGGGCCGAGAGAAAAGGGAATCAGGAGACCTGAAGCCCACTCTGGCAGCTTCCACTGCGGGTAAATGAGCCTTATCAGGCCTTGGAAGCTGACGTCTCTTGGCTGAGGGGCTAGAGGGGAACATTTTTCCCCTCATAGGCAGACAGCAGAGGACTAAGTTATTTAACAAAGGAAAATAACTAGGTTAATTTTGATTAGAGAGATAAGAGCTAAGCAAATAGAGGCAGTTAGCATCTCCTGGTAGCCATCTTTCCTCTCTGGGAAGCCGAGGCTCAGCTCAGTCCTCAGGGACAGCCCTTTCTCAATCCTGTTCTCCACCTACCAAGTTTCAGCTTCTGTTTCTATGCACCTTACTAGCCTTTTATCCTTATTAGGAATGTAATAAAACAAGGGAGACAGTGCTGCAGAACAGCCTGTGCCGTGTTGCTTTTACCTCTACCTGCTATTGGAGAGGCTGCCCTAGGGCCCTGGCTGGTAATGAGCTCTGAGGTGCAGGAGAGATCATTGCTGTTGGAAAGTAGCGGAAACTAGCTTGGCCTTGTTGGCTTTCAACCTATGGGTTGATAAAAGAGATCTGAGCTCAACAGCAGCTCACTCAAAGCTTCAGCCTGTGCTAGGAAGGGTGGGCCTATTGCCAGGGGAGGGAGAGCCTGGAAGTTGCCTCCTGGGGAAATTTGTCCATCTGACATTGCTGCCCATAACAGTAGCATGCTCCCTGGCAGCAGTGCCCAACGTGCTTGAGCAGCGAAGTTCTGAAGGGCCCCATCCCATGGCAGCATAGCTCTCTCTGGCTTCCCAGCAGCCCACCTGCCACCGCTGGTCGGAGCATTTCTCCTGGATGCACTCACATATTCTGAGGCAGAGAAAAATCTTATCTGTGGGCTGCTCAGGAAAGAGCAGTGAACCACAAGTCAAGGGACCTGAAGCTGTAGTCCTGCCGCTAATTAGGTGTGTGAGACACTGAACTTTCATGTGTAAAATGAAGGGGTTCCATTAGACAACCTATCCTGTCAGCCATGAAAACTAAGTATTCAAACTGAAAATTTATCATCAACCATCGCCAATGGAGATGCCCAAGGATGCTTAAGTGGTATCCATTGTGTGCTCAAGGAATCTAGCAATTCCATTTTGAAGTCCAAATGCTCAGTCCTTCAACCTCCCCCACAAAATGCTCTGCTTTTCTCTGGGGTTTATCCTGCTCCCCACTTCCTAAATAGGCAATGAGTGGCATCAATGCCTCCCGGTCCACCCAGGAAATTCAGGTGGAGAAAGCAAAAACGATGCTTCTCCACCTCTTAGAGAACACTTCTAGTCTCTTAATTATTAAGTGGCTTGTCTGAATCTCTCATTAGCAGCAGAGAATCATCTGCTACACTTTCAGGAAAGTCACAGGAGACCTAAAAAGGAGCTTGGAAGCACTGGGCAGGAAGTGCTGTTGTTTCTCTGGGGCAGAAGAGTTTGGAACAGAGATGGGGTAGAAGCCAATTTGGCTCCAGTGGGTAAAGAAGCATCCAATAGGCAACCCCTCTGCGTAGACCTAAGGCTCAGTTCTGGGGGTAGGAGATGAGTCGGAGGTGGAGGCCAGACACCGAGCCAGGCCATCTCCCTCAGAATCCGCTCCCGGGGACCCCAACCTCCTCTTCATAGAAAAGGCTGAAACCAGATCTTTTGCATTAACT